GTCTTTCTATTAATACATTTTGTGCATACAAAATGGTGTGTGTGTGTGTGTGTGTGTGTGTGTGTGTGTGTGTTTGTGTGTGAGTGTGTACATGTGCATGTTTGTCTTTCTAATAGCTATAAGGGGAGAAAAGCTGTCTTCTATTTTTGGAAAGCTAAATTAAAGCAATAATTCTTTACTAATTTTTAATTTCTGTGATATCTTACCATCATTAATGGCATTAAAGACTTTTAATAGTCTCTAAGATTTGCAAACAAACTTACAACAAAATGAATGTAAAGTTTAGGAAATGTGGCTCTTCTTACTCTGATCTATACCAAAAAAAACAAACAAAACCCCCCAAAACACAAAAAACCCACAAAAACAAAGCCTAAGCAAAATGAAGCATAGACAAACAATAGAAGCCTCTGTTACATACCCGTTGAAATATTCCTGCAATGAAAACAGCATCCATGGAGGCCAATTAGAGTCTTTGTTGTAAATTTCCTGTGGAAAAAAAAAAGAATCCTAAATGAAGAACTAATTTGGACATGAAAGACAGAGAGCAATTTAATGTAGTAAACTGGCTTAACAAACTTCATAAGAAAAGTTCATAAATTAAGAATATATAATATGTATGTGACTTCAAAATCTAACAGTAAATTAGGTTTTAACAAGATTGGAGAAATAACTTTTATTTAATTCATTAATAAATAAATACTGGGAGGCTGAGGCAGGAGAATCACTTGAACCCCAGAGGCAGAGAAGTCAGTGAGCCGACATCATGCCACTGCACTCCAGCCTGGCAACAGAGTGAGACTCCGTCTCAAAAATATACAAATAAATTTAAAAAAATGTAATTACGAATAAGATATTTAATGTTTTGACTTGTTTTTACTCAACAATCATTTGATTTGAGGTATTTGCCACATTTTAAATATGAAAACAATTGGTTTAACTGGCAAGGTAGTTTATACAAGATCACCTAGAAGACTCAAAACAAGAGCAGTTTCAGTCCGAATTCCACATTTAAATAAACATTTTATGTTGGCCTTTGGACAGCGATTACATGCGACCAAGCTCTTCTATTAAACAATAATATTTACAGTTTGCTTGGCTCTGATTGTTTATAAATCATTTGCATATTTCGTTTTATCAGAGAGAATGATTAGATGTATTTTAAAAATAAAGAAATTTGCCGAAGTAGATGAGAAGGATTTTACAATTCTAAGACAGAGTTCTATTTAATTAGTTTGTCAATCAGGATATCTGGTCTAACTTCAGTAATAAATTATTCTAATTTTATTCTCAACACAAGACTCAAGCTCACTCTTATTTCAAGTAGAAAAATCAACTGAGGAAAAGAAAAGGAACTTTTAGATTGCTTTAATACCTCTAAAGAGATTTAATATTAAATAGCAATTCTATATGTAAACAACCAAAAGAAAAGGCTGACCAATAGAAATGGATAATTCCATAAAAACACAAGTAAACAACACATTTTTTTCTTATCCCAACTTGAACCTGTGTCTAAAACCAAGATATAATTGGGTTGCTTGTTTTTTTTCTATCCGTTATTGCAAATTCAAATATTTATAAACAAAAATAAAAATTTTACATGTAAAGAAAATAGTAAAATAATATGAATATGTAATAGTATAACATGATTAAGAGAATTGAGATATGTCAGCCAGGCATATGCATTACATGATGCTGAGGTTTGGGGTATGGATGGTTCCATCATCAAGGTAGTGCACATAATACCCAATAGGTAGCATTTTAGCCCATTCCTAACCCCCTCATAGGAGTCTTCAGTCTATATTTTTAACATCTTTATATCTATGTGTATTCAATATTGTATTTTATCAATTCTCCCCTGGAAAGTATTTATAATAACTTATGTTTTTCTCTGATAATGTTTTTCCTAGGGGTAATATTTAGACTGTACTTTCTATATTATTATTTTTTTCTGTAGCTGTCATCTTTCTGTTATTCAGCTCAAACTTAGATATTTTAAATATAAAAATATTGAAAAAATATTGTCTTGAATTGACCTTTTCAGATGAAAAATTTTGTTTTATAGATGTAAATATTTATCCCTTTAAGGCTACTAATTGTGGGAGTTCAGTCAGGGTGGTGGGAAAAATTTGAGAGGAAAATTATCAAGATAATTACAGGAAATAGTCACAGACCTTCTTGGAAGTCTGAGGGATTTGCATAGCTTCAGTAAAAGGTTTGGCTAAAGGCAGCTGAAATCTCTTAAAAGCTTAGGCAGATACATAGAAATGTAGAGGAGTTTATCTAAATAGCTTGTTTACTCATGTGGTCTTAAGACCAAGTTTTGATTATTCATAGGTGCATGACTACTCTCTACTCCAGACATTGGGCATTGTCAATTACCCTCTAGTGGTGTTTACCCAAGACCTTTGTCATTTAATCTATACTAAATAACTTCAAACTTCACTGGCTGATCAGGGCCATAGCTGCTAACTCTTTACCAGATCCTCCTCAGTATCTGTGAGTGGCCTGGAACCTTAGCCAGACTGACAGGCAAAAATATCTGCGTCAGCGTACGTTATTCATGCATTATGCAAGCCTGGGACTGTGGGTCAGAATCCATCAACTAATAGTAGTTTTCTAACAGTTCATATGTGCCTTTTGAACTTTTTATTTTATATATTCGTGTTTTGGGGGTATTTTTGTTTTTGTTATTGGTGCTTCTCATCCATGGGCTTTGTAGAAGTTTTTGCTGACTATTAATTCTGTGCCTTTTTATTTAAAGATACTCGTGTGCTTGTCTGTAAAGATTGTTTCAGTTTACCATAAACTGTATTTTGCAATATTGAATAAAATTCTAAAATTACTATGTGAGTGTGGAAGATGTAAAAGGAGTATCCCATTAGTTTAATTTCTCTCTCTTTTTTTGGGGTGGATGGCCATTTAAAACATGGCTCTATGTTTCCTTCCAAATTTTTGTATAAATAGGTAGGACTTTTAGCAATGAAAAAGAAAATTTAGCTTTGCTAAAGTGTTTGATTATTTGTTTTTGAGATGATGTTTCACTCTTGTTGCCCAGGCTGGAGTGCAATGCCACAATCTCGGCTCACTGACATTTCCACTTCCCAGGCTCAAGTGATTCTCCAGCCTCAGTCTCCCAAATTCAAAGTAGTGGGGATTACAGGAACCTGCCACCATGCCTCACTATTTTTTTTTGTAATTTTAGTAGAGATGGGGTTTGACCATGTTGGTAAGGCTGATCTTGAACTCCTGACCTCAGGTGATCCACCTGCCTCAGCCTCCCAAAGTGCTGGGATTACAGGCATAAGCTGCCACACCTGGCCTTCTAAATCCTTTTAAAGGTTTCTGCAAACTTTTATTTTGAAATATTTCAAAATAATAAAAAAATGAGAGATGTGTATAACAAACTCATGAAAGACCTTCATCTATTTTCTCAAATTGTTAAAGATTTGCCTTATTTTGGAAGGATTTGTTTTTCATGAGCCCGATTATTGAAACCTATAAATACAGAGTCCTAGGAGAATATGAACAAAAGTCAGATAAGCACAGGATTAAATGATGATGGTCAGTCTGCATCTGATGAGCCTTCAACCAAAAGGAAAACTGAGCCATACCTAGTCAACTGAAAATTACAGCTGTGCAGACAAGGGAAAGAAGAGTGGAGCAAAAAATGTACATGCTAACTTGGCAGCCCCAGCTCTTCTAGGTGACATCTGATCCACACATCTGTCAGCAGCCCATTGAGCAGGCTCATAGAAACTCCAAAATGATGTTAATTATTTCAAAAAAGCAGCAGGTGTTGAGTGTGCATCTAAATTGGAACAATCCTCACGAAGGCTCATTTAACTTCACAGGCCAACATTTACAAGAATTTTTCTCTTAATTGGCAATCACTTGACAATGAGGCTGAGTAGCTCAAGCTGAAAATTTCCTGGGATTCAGTATTAAGACTGCCTACAGATTGTGGGGAACTGCTGAAGGAGAAAGTAACAAAGCATATCGCATTTTTAGTATACCACAGCATCAAGCTTTTTCTGGTATGTCGTTCAAAAATCTAAAAAGAATTAGATCCTTTAGATTCTTTTTGAGAACAATAAAAGTCATTTTTTAATAATTTATAACATATCCACTTATCACTTGACAATTTAAATCTGTGCTCTCTTAGAGATTTATGTTTTCTCTCTTGAGGGATTATAAATTCAATGCCTTAGTAAAAATACATGAATAAAAAGTATGTATAAGAAAAGTAATAGAAGTGTAATTTATGAAAAAATTTTTATTATGGCATAAAATATGGAATACACTTCTATAATATTAAAGATTACAGTAATAGCTAGGAATGCTTTTAGATTTCTTAATAAGACTTTCTGTAGATGTCTCATGGTCATATGATTTCAATTCAGGTCTTAATTTAAACAGTACAATTTATGTCTCTCATAAACTTAAATAAACTTAGTCTTTGTTGGAAAGAGTAAAAATAATGAAGTTTGGAAACAACTTGTATGTTTTAGTGGTATCAAAGAGCATAGCAAAACATGTATTAAATAGAATTGGGAACCTTGCTTAATTGATTTTCCTGGTTGAGAATTTCAGTAAAATCTATTTCAGAAACAACTTACAAACTTCACACAGAATGTGAGTGAACATTCTGATGTAAAAAAGCCACTACAGAGCAGTGGTTCTTAATACAGTGTCCATACAAAAGATCCATGGATTTGAATAAAAACATGTTGTATCTTCATTTCACTTACCTCTAACTGGTATTTAGTATTTCCTACCATTATGGATACAGCAAAGTCAACAGTTGCATTAGCAGAACTTGTGATTTTATTCCTAACAGAAATAAGAGAAATGTTCATTAAAAATGTGATTGTTACAATAGATACCTCAAAGTATCTCTATATATTAACAACTTTAAAATGACTGTAGTTATTATACTTATTGCTATATCTTGTTTAAAATATTGTGAAAACTTTGTTTCAATATATTTAATTTTTTAAAATATTTATATAAAATGTTTCATGAATTTTCATGTTATCTTTGTGCAGGGGCCACATTAAAATTCTCTGTGTCATTCCAACATTAGTATATGTGCTGCTGAAGCAAGCACTGATGCCATTTTTAATATTATATATGTGTTCATTAATATTTTGAGAAACATCAATATACTTCATCAAACTGACAAAGTGGTCTATATCATAATGCAATTTTGAGATCCCCAGCTCCACTACAGAACTTTCCTCTTTCTTTCATACTCCAAATTTGATACCAACTTGACTTGTCCTCTCTACCTTCAGACTGAATCTCAAATCCATCAACATCAATGACTTTTAATCATTTCCACTACTACTATCTTACATCAAACACTTGTATTGGCACAACTGCAATAGCATTTTTATCAATCTTCTTGTCCATCCTTGACTTCTATAGCAATGTATCTCAACTAGGGGTCATTGTGACCCCTGCCAAGGACATTTAATAAATCTGTGGCCTTTTTTGGTTGTCAAATGTACTAGGGTGCTACTACTATTAATTAAGTAGAGGTTAGAAATACTGATGACACCATACCATGCATAGAGCCTACCTATACAACAAAAATTTACCTGGTCAAATGTCAATAGTGCCTAAATTGAGGAACCCTGCTCCATAGTTTTCATCACATAAGGATCATGGTAATGTTGTTTAAAAAACTCCAAAACCAAAAAATGAAATGCAAGGCAAATCAGGTTCCATCCCTACATAAATCCCTTTCCACAGATTCCCATAACATTTAGAAGAAAATCCATTACTCCCTGCTGTGTCCTACAAAGTCTTGCATGACCTAGCCCCTAACTGTGTCTATGAATTTCTCTCCTCACTTACTCTGACCCAGCTACACTAGTCTTGCTTTTGGTTTTAAGAGACCCCATGCTTTTTCTTCACTTAGAGACATTTGATACCTAAGTTCTAGAATTTAAAAGGTTCTACTCCCAGATTTTTTGGGGCTTACTCATTTCTTTTAGGTATCAAAAGTCACTTCCCCTATAATAGTAGCTCAGGGTGACCTACAAAACCTGGAAAGATGTTGTGTTCAGATAGTGCTTCTGTGAAAGCATTCAATCCAAGATCACCTCAATCCAGTTTCAGAGATTGAGACTATTTGAAGCTGAGCTGCTAATCCTAAGAGGGTCCAACTGGTTCATGCTTCCCCCTAAAGTGTAAACTATTGAAAAGTTTAATCCAGAGCAAGGAGAGTCCATCAGGCTTTTCTACTGGGATGACATGGCCCAGCATGGCTGCAAAAAGCCCAGCTTAATCTTTTAAGTCTCTCAGCTGTCCTATCTCTAATATGCCAAGAGCTATTATACTCTCACTTAACTCTACAGGTGATATAGTTTGGATATATGTTCCCACCCAAATCTCATGTTAAATTGTAATCCCCAGTATTAGAAGTGAGGCCCAGTGGGAGGTGATTAAATAATGGGAGTCAATTTCTCATTAATAGCTTAGTACCATTAGCTTGGTGCTATCTTTACCATAGTGAGTGATTTGTCATGAGACCTGGCTGTTTAAAATGGTGTAGCACGTCACTCTCTCTATCTTACTACTGCTTTTTCTATGTAATGTCCCTGGTCCTTCTTTGCCTTCAGCTATGATGGTACACTTCCTAAGCCCTCCTGAAAAGCATGTACTGACATCATGCCTCACAGCCTACAGAACTGTGAACCAATTAAACCTCTATTAATTATTCAGCCTCAGGTATTTCTTTATAGAAATGCATAACTGGCCTAATAAATAGAATTAATAATAAAGGGAAAAGCCTGAAGTAGGAGAAAAAAAACGTAGCTATAAAACTAATAGTATAGTCTAAATATTGTCTATACAACTAGCAGCAATAATGGCCATGGTAATAAGAATGAGTAAAAATGTTTTTGAACAGAACACTGACTCAGTCTTTATATGTGAATGCAAGAGATTAATAAAAAAGAGGTCACTGTAAATGATTAGATTTTAAACACCTAGAGGATAATATGGTAGAAACATTCATAGAGTGGGTACATTTTAAGTAGAATTGGTTTGCCCTGTTTGTTTAATAATTCATTCAGTGTGCATATGTGTGTGTGTTTGTTTAATACTTGCTATATGCCAGCCCTTATTCAGTGTGGATTGCAATCATGATTAAGGGAAGATCCTGCCCTTCAAGTATGCAAATGCTAGTGGGAAAGACAGAAAAGTTAATAGAAAATTAAGGTGTGGTATATTAAGTGGTACAATAAGGATAAGTATGAAATATCACAGAGGAGGAACAAATATCTCAGGAAAAAAAAAAACCTAAAGGATAAGTAGAAGTCAACTGGGAGATGGTTGGTAATATGCCATGCTTGAAGACTGGAGAGAATGAAGCATTTTAGCAATACTGAGCAGAAAATATTGGTGACATCATGGCTTTCAGGTAAGCACAAGTCACTCAGCATGTATAGAACCATTGTTACCAAAACAGCTGGAGTTTGGTCTAGGTCCTACTACTCATGGCACAGAAAGCTAACCACTGAGACAACAATTATTGCCAGGGAAAAAGGGTTTAATTGGGTGCTGCAGCCCAGGAGATGGGAGATCAGTCTCAAATCCATCTTCCTAATTGACCCAAATGAGAGGTTTATATTGCAGAGGAGAAATGTAACAATGTGTAAGAAAGCAGGACCCAGAGAAGGCCAAGAAAGCATTTATGATGAATGATGAGTGCAGCAACGCATTGTCTAGATGTGGTGATCTGGTGTAAAACAAATGTAAGTTTCAAGCTTTACAACCAGAAGGATGTATTTCTATGTTAATAAAAAGAAACTGTTTATGGAACTGTTGGATTTGTTTCATTATGATATGAGGTAAATAATAATAGAAAAAAGCATATTAAAAATCATGTTTTGAGAAGGCAAAGGAAGATGACCAAATAGAACTCTCCAGCAATCACTCTCCCTGCAGAAACACCAAATTGAACAACTATCTACGCAATAAAGCACTTTCATAAGAGCCAAAAATCAGGTGAGGACCACAGTATCTTGTTTTTACATCGTATTAAAAAAAATAGACACTTAAAAGGGAAGGAAAGACAGTCTGGCATTGCCTACACCACCTTCCCCCATCTCTCAGTAGGTCTGTGTGCTTGCCGGAGGGAGATTGAAGTGGGTATGGGACTTTTCACTGAAACTCAGTGCTGCTTTGTCACAGCAGAACACGACATAGGGCAGAATTCTGTCAATGCCTAGAGAGGGAGCATTTAGAATAACACAACCTACAGGAGCATACTTCTCTGTTCCAGTGGTAAAGACCTGAGTTCAGGCTAGCCCCAATACAGAGCTAAAGTGCCCTGAGGTCATGAGTAAATTTGAAAGGCAATTAGACCACAAGGACTACAGTCCTTGGGCAAGTCCTGGTGCTGTGCTGGGCTTGGAGCCTGTGGACTTGAGGTGCACACAACTCAGTGAGACACAAGCTGTGGCAGCCAAGGGAGAGCGTGAGTCACCTCTCCCTTAACTATACAGGTAGTGTAGTTTTTGAAAAGACTCCTTCCATTTGTGGAAAGGAGAGGAAAGAGTAAAGAGAACTTTAACTGGCACCTCTGGGAACCAGCTCAATCACATGTAAAGCACCAAGAAGATTTCTGAAGCCCCCAATTCTAGGTCCTTGCTCCTAGATCACATTTCTGACACCCACTCTCCACCCCAATCGCTCTCTACCCTGCCCCTGAACCAAAGGAGAAACTGTAGCCCTGAAGGGAAAGACTCTGTCCTGGTAGAATGCACCACCTGCTGAGTAAAGAACTTATAGACCTTGAATAATCATTAGTGGCAGCCAGGCAGTAGTCACCATGAGCCTTGGGTGAGACCCAAGCCTCTGTCTACTGTGCAGGCTTAAGATGTGATCTAGAACAGTCCCAGCTGTGGTGGCCACAGGAATGCTAGCATCACCCCTCCCACAAAACCAGACAGCCCAGCATGGAGTTGGAGACTCCTTCTGTTTGGGGGAAAGTGAAGAAAGAAAATGAGAGCATTTGCCTAATAATCCAAATAATTTTCCTGTATCTAACCCAAAACCACCAACGCAATAAGTACCTCTATGAGTGTGCAGTAGTCACATCATTACTGGCTTGGGGTGTTCCCTAGAGCAAGTACAGTTGCAGTGGCTAAAGACATCGTTCACAAAACTAAATTCCCAAATATCTAAAAGTCCTTCTTAAAAACCATGCGTACAAATAAGCCCAGACGATGAAGATTAAAATAAATACCTAAATACCTAACTGTTTAAACTGTTTAATGCCAATATATCAACAAATATCCACGAGCATCAAAAATATTCAGGAAACCATGACTTTACCAAAGAAACCACATAAGACATCTGTGATGAATTTTGGAATGACAAAGATATGTGATATTTCAGACAGATAAGTCAAAATAGTTATTCTGAGAAAGCTTAATGAACTGCATGATAATACAGAAAAGAAATTCAGAACCTATCTCAGAGAAATTTAACAGAGATTAAAATAATAATAAAAAAGGAGAAATTTTGAAGCTGAAAAAAATCAAATGAAACTGAAAAATACATTAGAGTATATGAACAGCACAACTGATCAAGCAGAAGAAATAATTAGTAAGCCTGAAGATAGGCTATATAAAAATACACAATCAGAGAAGTAAAAAAGGAAGAAATAAGAAGGAAGCATGCCTAAAAGATCTAAAAAGTAACATTAAATTAAAAAAAGTTATTGGTCTTAATGAGAAGATAAAAAAAGAGACTGGGGTAGAAAATTTGTTCTAAGAAATAACAACTAAGAACTTTTTAAATCTAGAGAAAAATGTTAATATTCAGGCACAAGAAGGTAATAGACCACAAAGCAGATTTAACCCAAATAAGACCAATTAAATACATGTAATAATCAAATTTCCAAAGGTCAAGGATAAGGAACAGTTTCTAAAAGCAGTAAGAGAAAAGAGAGAACACATAAAAAAGCTTCAATACTTCTAGCAGCAGACTTCTCAGCAGAAACCTAACAGGCCAAGAGAGTGTCATGACATATGTAAAGTGCTGAAGAAACATAACTGTTTTCCCCTAGAATATTATATCCAGTGAAAATAT